GGTTTTAACATATTCAGAAAATAACAGTATTACCTCCCTAGTTATGACTGTAGCCACTGAAATTTTTCTACTTCTACTACTTATAAGTGTGTTAAAGAGTACAAAAGTCTAGTCAAGCAGGTCTGTTCACAATAGGCCAGCCCACCAGTCAGATCATTTCCTACATAGTAGCCTTTTGCTGATTCAAATTATACTTCAGCCACAGGGCATTCACTCATGACATTTCTTCTACTCCTTTTATGATAATGGTTTATATCAATCTGGTTTTTGCATATAAATGTCTTCATTCTTAGAAGAACTCCATCCCACCCTACCTAGTTATGACAAGCATAAGTACCCATTTTAAGAGTTCTTTGGGTTTTGCAAAATGTGGTACATTGCATTTGTATTTCAATAGAAACATACCCAGATGAGGATGAAAATGCAAACTTTCTTTGTACAGTAACTCATAGGGCTATACTATTAAAGGTTGCTCCATTTGTAGTTAATTTTCTTACATCTTCAAGCTCTAGTTTTCTATATCTTCAAGCTCAAGTTATAGAGCTTCTGGTTTTGTAAGGCATCTTAAATGAATCACAGAGAAACAGCAGCTCCTCTCAGACCAGGTCTATTTATATAGATTATGCTGATTCCGGACTTCAGAATCGTAAACTCACCTCCTTCTTGATCATGTAATCTGATGATGCTTAAGGTGAGTCTCTATCTTGTGGTCCTTCCTGACTCAAGTCCTTTACAAAAAAACCCCATTTTGCCTATATCTTTGAAGACTTAGGTTTTACTGATGGAATTTTGTGCTTATTCAACCTCTACGGTACACAGCGTCAATTTGAGCAGTAGCAACTGTCCAGAGAGCGAAATGCAAGCCCAATTTCTATGCAGCCAGGTTACACAGCATGCTGCAGGGAGAGCTCTGACTCCTTTATGTTGATTGGTAATTCAGGTTCCTCTGTCAATTCCACAATTACTACTAACTGTTGCACATCACAACTCATAAAAGACTATTTTCCGGGAGTTTCCTCATTGCCTAGTAGTTAGGACTTGGTGCTTTCACTGCTGTGGCCTAGGTTCAATCCTTGGTTGGGGAACAGAGATCCCACCAACTGCACAGTTCAGGAAAAAAAAAAAAGAACCATTTCCCAGACTCTTACAGAATTATGGGTACTCATTTGGTGAATAAATTAATGAATTAACTTATAGTCTTAGGTGAGAAAACCAAAGGACTTGATCTCTTTTCTGTAACCACAGCATTTACAGGTGTGGGGAAGGCTGCCTTCTACAGTGTCACCTCCTTTCCCAGAATTTCAACGTGAAGTCAACATGTCCCAGGAATGGTATTGTTTTGCACACACTGTACTGTGAAATATAAGTTGTCAAGCTATTTGTGTGAAACACTGTAAGATTTTCTTTAATATATAAACTAAAATCAAAGACAACCTCTGAGTGTCTTCCCATGAAGCCATCTGTGGCCACGATGCCCAGTGATGGCTTCCACCACAGCCGCCATCATGTCGCCCTTCACTCTCTTCTTCGGCCTCCTCTAACCAAAATCTGAGGTGACTCTGCACTTACCTACTCCTTATTATTATTTTTTTAATCTTGGCTTCAATAAAAACACATGGAATACATCAAGTAATTCCGTTCTCATTCTATGAATACCAATCCAAAGAATGATTTCTAAAGAATTATTAAAGCACATACAAGAATTTACATTATACTCCAGTAGGTAGGAATTGATTGAAAATATTATCAGTGCTTTATAGTGTGGGGGAAAACCCTGGCTTTTTAACTTTAAGACTATAAATAAAATCGTGGGCAGTGATGGCTGCCCTTTTTATATAGCTGGTCAACATTTTTTCATTTCATTTTAATACACAAATTTATGGTTTTAAGTTAAATTCTGCATTCAGTTGGCATAAAATATCAGCATAGCTGGAAAGCATTTTTGCATTTTATATGATAATATCTTTACCCTCACATAGTTTGTGGCTTTGAAAATAATTTTAATAATTTGGTATCTTATGGTTAATACATCAGACTGAATATATAGGTAACATATACATGTTTATGTACATTTAATTATAATCTACCTGAAGCTATAGCGAGAAAAAACCTCTATATAACAAATATATGTACAAGTCCCAGTGATCCACTTCTAGGGAATCTTATATAAATCAAATTCTGGTTTGGCCACTGGACTTAGTCCGTTGGAGTTTTCTGCTACCTCAGGTGCAACTGAATGTAAAATTTTCTATCTGGAATTTCTGTGGCAATTAAAACTCTTAATTCTTTTTTCGCTTTGTACCTTTAGAGGCAATTAATGACTTGGCTTTTGACCAATTTAAGAACAAACACTTCTTTCTATTGTGATGACAGAGGTCATTTTCTAGCTCTCAGGTGCCAATGGGAATTGACCCTGATAGTCATAAGCAATAAAGTTTTATATAGATAAAATCCAATTTAGTGGTGGAGAATTTTCCATTCAGAAATTCCTTCTAATAAGAAATGACTAGAAAGAATTTATTTTCATTTTAGCAGTGAAACTGACCTATGACTGCCCTCATTCCAGGCCCTACCACAGTGACATCTCTATTGTACTACCAACTCACCGAAGTGGTGACAGGAGCCATGGGATTGAGCTGTGGTGGTGACTAAGCAAGCCCCATATGTCTGCAATTTCCCAAAGCCACCCCACAGTTGTATGGCAGCTTTACTCAGCCTCATGCAGAGGTCTGTCTGACCTCATCACCGCAGAGCAAGACAGGATTTTGTAGAACATTCTTTTTCAGTCTCTTCAAAGAGCACAAGCAAAGACACACAAAAACTAGAAACTGGTTTCTAGGAAATTTAACCTCTCAAAATACGGGTATTATCTAATGATACAGTCATTCACCAGCTGCTGCTATATAAATACAATAAAAGATGAAGAAAACTAGGAACAAATTAGCACAGTACTTGGGACTAAGGATAAGATTATTAAAGTTACACATCAGCCTACACAAAGCCACAATTTTCTTCAAAAAAAAAAACAAAGAGTTGATAAGTGTCACCGTCCAGTGAGGCATTTATTTTCAAGCTAAACCCAATTAAGAACCTGTGGCTGCTGGCCACAGCTCTTACAGAAACCAACATATACTTCTGTGCCTCTGACAACCCACCCCAGTGATGTGTGCATAGGAGTCGTTGAATTGCATCTCACACTGTTTGCACTGAGATGGCACCAAGCTTTAGAACTAACCACAGCTCTGTGGAGAGGAGGTCAGACCCACTCTCCCTGGGTGGCTCAGTCTGCCCCTGCTGTCAGGACCTGGCCAGGGTTTCATCAGCATCACCTCTGACTCATACTCAGCGTTCAATAGCAAGATGGAGTTGCCAACAATGAAGACCTGGCAGAGGGCCAACCTATTGGTACTAAAGTAATGCCTGCCACTGTGCAGCAAGCTGGGCCAGACATTTATGGGAAACGGCTGACAGCTGGATAAACAAGCAGCTCCATTTTTGGTGAGCTGCAGTGGAAGCAGAGATGACAGAATAAAGTCTTTAGGTATATGCTTCAGATGATTCTATGTTATGGGTGGAGAATGAAAACGCTGGCTTAAAACTCAATATTAAAAAAAACTAAGATCATGGCATCTGGTCCCATCACTTTATGGCAAATAGGTGGGGAAACAGTGGAAAGAGTGGCAGGTTTTGTTTTCTTCGTCTCCAAAATCACTGTGGATGGCGACTGCAGCCATGAAATTAAAAGACTTGGAAGAACAGCTTTTTGGAAGAAAAACTTTCTTCTTCTTGGAAGAAAAGCTATGACAAACCTAGACAGCATATTAAAAAACAGAGACATCACTTTGCGACAAAGGTCCATATAGTCAAAGCTATGGTTTTTTTCAGCAGCCATGTATGGATGTGAGAGTTGGACCATAAAGAAGGCTGGATGTCAAAGAACTGATGCGTTTGAACTGTGGTGTTGGAGATGACTCTTGAGAGTCTCTTGGACAGCAAGGAGATCAAAACAATCAATCCTAAAGGAAAACAACTCTGAATATTCACCGAAAGGACTGATGCTGAAGCTCCAATGCTTTGACCACTAGATGCTAAGAGCTGACTCACTGGAAAAGACCCTGATGCTGAGAAAGATTGAAGGCAAAAGGAGAAGAGGGTGGCAGAGGATGAGATGGTTGGATGGCATCACCAACTCAATGGACATGAGTTTGAACAAACTCCAGGAGATGGTGAAGGACAGGGAAGCCTGGAGCACTGCAGTCCATGGGGTTGAAAAGAGTCTGATATGGCTTATCTACTGAACAACAAGAATAACAGGCTTTTAGAAAACAGCATCAGACAGGGACATCAACAGACATCCAAGAAGGTACTGGGCACCAGAAGGGAAAAAGAGGCTGAATGGCAAATCGTGTCAGCCCACAAACCCAGTCAAGGAAAGGAGTGAAAAGAGGCTGGTTAGATGCAGTCCATTCAGAAATAGTAGGAGTTGCTGTGTGTGGCCACTCCCACCACCCAAGCCACTTAGTGCTGAATTCTGAACCCCACCAAGCAAGGAGACATCCTTGTGTCAGTCAGGAATCCAGAGACTCAAGACAGAGAGAAGCTGTGGGTTTAAGTCTGTGGTAGAGTGAAATAGACAAGACTTATAAAATTAGGCAATCAAAATATGTGTGTTTTTCTCCCCACCTCCCCTTCTCCCCACCTTACCCTCTGCCTGCATGCCTAAGAGTGAGTCACTTGTGGAACTTGGTTTAGGTTTTAAGGCAGTTTGGGTTTTTGAGACATGTTTAGCACAGATAAGTTCAATGTAGCATCAGAAAGAATTCCCAGTTTTTTCCTTTGTGTGGCTTTTCAGAACAACAGAATGAGCCAGGTATCGGCAAATAGCAGTCAGCTAAGATAAGCGGCTGTTCTGGGCACAGATGCCCTTGTGCCAGGAAAACAAGAACAAGCGTGAGCCAGAAGCAGGAAAACCAAGCCCACAAACACAACTCTTGACTTACAGCTGGGAGACAATACTTCCTTTTCGCAGACGCCAGGCTCTGCAAACTCCTCTGCAAACCGCGACTCACAGGAGCGTGGGTGTGCAGTGGCCTGGAGAAGGCAGTCAGTGACAGGAGCAAAATTAGAGCCTACTCTGCAGGCCCCTTGGTGTCCCTGGTTCACTGCCAGGCCTGTCCTGATCCCGAAACATGTGGAAAGTCAGCACACGTAGATCGAATAGCAGGAGACTAGACCTGAAGAGGTTACCAGTGAAACACTTTCTGAAAAATGAAAAGTTTCTTTGTTGCTAATTGGAAAGCTCTGCTAGTATTGGCTTACTGAGGAAAAGGAGAGTCTGGTACACAGCTCTGATGATGTGGTAGTGACTGTCGCTTTCCATGAAGGCCTATCACTGTACATTGGAGGCCCTAGAGTAAGTTGTTAAGCAAAAGATCTTACGTATTGGGTTTTGTCCGAGTTGGACCCACATGGGATAGGGAGGGGGTGAAAAATGTTGGCACAACCCCAACTGTCAGATTATGGTTCAAAATCATTTTCTTAGAGATAGTGTGTCTACAGGAAAACTTTGAGTAAAGGCAAACCTAGACAGCAAATTAAAAAGCAGAGACATCACTTTCCAAAGTCAAAGCTATGGTTTTTTCCAGTAGTCATGTATGGATGGGAAAGTTGGACCATGAAGAAGGCTGAGCTCTCAAGAATTGATGCCTTCGAACTGTGGTGCTGGAGAAGACTCTTGAGAGTCCCTTGGACAGCAAGGAGATCAAAACAATCAATCCTAAAGGAAAACAACTCTGAATATTCACCAGAAGGACTAATACTGAAGCTCCATTGCTTTGCCACCTGATGCCAAAAGCCGACTCACTGGAAAAGACCTTGATGCTGGGAAAGACTGAAGGCAAAAGGAGAAGAGAGTGGCAGAGGATGAGATGGTTGGACGGCATTACCGACTCAATGGACTTGAGTTTGAACAGCTCCAGGAGATGGTGAAGGACAGGGAAGCCTGGTAAGCTGCAGTTCATGGAGTCCACAGAGTTGGACATAAGTTAGTGACTCAACAACAACAAAGGCAAATGAAAGACTTGAGTCTAAACACAGGCTTCCAAAAGTAGAAATAGGATACAGGAAGTGGAGAGGTGAAAAAAAAAAAAAATTAGCCAGGATGGAAAGAGTAGAGAGAGAAGTAGAAAGACTCCAAGGCAGAGACTCTTGAAGGAAAAGCTATGAGAGAACAGGACTGTGGCTTCCCAGCTTCATCTCAGTTATTGCCTCACACAACTCACTGTAACCTTAATATCAGAAATATGTAAGATGAAGACAGAGGTGTTCATATCTTTTTGTCTAGTTCTGATCCTTCACTTTACTTCTAGCCCAGACTTTCCAACTGTATATCAATCAGGTCCACATCTATGATCATCTCTGTCTCAGTTCCTAGCACAGTGCATTGCATAGGTATGGGTACAAAAAAATAATATTAGCTGAATGATGAATAAAATAGCCCAGTCCACCATAGAAAACCCTATCTTATATTTCCTTCCGGATTCTGGCTCCTGGCCCATCATTATCTTCTAAGAAGGAGACAATTTACAAGAGGCTGTGTAATTACTGGGAACTCCAGTGGATGGAACAGACTGGCTGTGACAGACTATGCAGTTGAATTGAATAATATTTACTGACTGTGCCAGACCCTGAACTAGGCAATGAGGATGTTCAGATGAATAAGACATGGTTCCTGTGGTTGAGGAGCTCACCATCAAAGGAGGAGACAGATGAATAAATTGAAAATAACAATTCAATTTATTGAATTGAATACATCATAAAAATATGATGTATTGGGATACAGGTAAGAACCAGGGCTGCAGGCCAAGGAAAAGGGTTACCTCACCCAAGTGAGAAGGTGTTGGCCTCAGTCCTACAGAACAGAACTGCTCACAAGATACCTGTGCAGCCTGGGACTTGGGCTGATTTCAACAGCATCACCACCTCCAGCTGTCTCAGGTCTTATCTCCCTCTTTTCTCAATGGCTCCTACTTTTGGACTTTCCAACATGATACATGTTGTTTTTCAACTCTGCTATGCCCTCAAGCTGCTAGCTGAGCTTTTTTATCCTTTTACTGCCAAGGCACAGCCGACACTTTCCTGCATTTGCTTCCTACCCTGCCATTCTCCCCCACTCCAGTCCTCTTGCCTGGAGAATCCCATGGACGGAGGAGCCTGGTGAGCTGCAGTCCATGGGGTCGCGAAGAGTCCGACACAACTGAGAGACTTCACTTTCACTTTTCACTTTCATGCACTGGAGAAGGAAATGGCAACTCACTCCAGTGTTCTTGTCTGAAGAATCCCAGGGACAGAGGAGCCTGGTGGGCTGCCGTCTATGGGGTCGCACAGAGTTGGACACGACTGAAGCAACTTAGCAGCAGCAGCAGCTGTCATTCTCTACCTACCCTTGATGTGAAGTTCTCTCCCAAATTCATTTACAGTAACCCCTCTCTTGGAGAAGAATCACTCGCAGCCTCCTTATCACCAAATCCAATAACCCTCACTCACTTTACACAGAGTTAACTCTGGCAACTACCACCCTACAAGTTGAAACTTTTCACCTCCTTCAGTTCAGCTCAGTCGCTCAGTCATGTCAGACTCTTTGCAACCCCATGGACTGCAGCATGCCAAGCCTCCCTATCCATCACCAACTCCTGGAGTTTACTCAAACTTGTGTCCATTGAGTCAGTGATGCCATCCAACCTCTCATTCTCTACCGGCCCCTCCTCCAGCCTTCTATCTTTCCCAGAATCAGGTTCTTTTCAAACGAGTCNTGCATATAAGTTAAATAAGCACAGTGACAATATACAGCCTTGACGTACTCCTTTTCCTATTTGGAAGCAGCCTGTTGTTCCATGTCCAGTTCTAACTGTTGCTTCCTGACCTGCATACAGATTTCTCAAGAGGGAGGTCAGGTGGTCTGGTATTCCCATCTCTTTCAGAATTTTCATCTTCTTCAGTCTCTTCCCTTTGCTTCAGACGGTACCAATTCCCTTTCCTATCCCCGTACAGGGAGTGTTCCCCAGTGAACAGCCACAGGGACCTCACCTATGTCTAGAGTTCAAACTCCTCTCCATGCTGATGACACACGTATCTTTTTCTCTAGTTCCAATCCTTCACTTTACTTCTAGCTCAGAATTCCCAAATGTATATCAATTAGGTCACAAGCATGGTCATCTCTGTCTCAGAGTTCCTAGCACAATGCATTGCATAGGTATGGGCACAATAAATAGTATTAGCTGAACAATGAATGAATGATAAAAGAAAGAAAGAGCCCTACCCCACAGAAGGCCCTACCTTGACTTCCTTCCTGACTTCCTAGCTATGGTTGCCTTCCAGAAGTAGGCAATTTGTGGTTTCAGAGGAGTCCCATGTATAAAGCCTGGTAATGGATCTTTGTATCCACAGAGAGAGTGGTATAGTTGTCTTATGCCCCCGCCAATCTCTTTTCAGGAACTCATTTTCTTTTTTGGTGAAACGGAACAAAAATTATCAGCCCTTGTGGTAAGTATTATTACTCACAGTAACACTGTTCTGTCTTGTAGTTGATTGGCACTAGGACTAACACTCAGCCTCAACATGTCCTTTCCCATGACTTTTAACCCAAAAACAACAGCAACCACAACAATAAGAACACTTGCTATGTGCCAGGCACTGTGCTGTGGTAAGTATTATGTATGCATTATCTTTCTAAATCTTCTCAAAAATCCTATAAGGCAGAAAACATTTTATAGCAGAGGAAACAGAGGCTTAGGGAGGTTGAAGCAACTTGCTCAAGGTAACTGCCTCAGGGACATGGAAGTGAAAACATCCACTCTTAATCACTTCAGTACACAGCCCCTCAGGTCTACTGGATCCAATTCAAGAGGGCTTGAGTTGGTTCACACCTACAAATCATTGAGTGCCTGTACATGCTAAGCATTGTAGGACTCAAAGGTTTAAAAAGATCAAGTCCATGATCTCAAGGAGTTTATAGTCTAGAGGAAAAGCATCAAGATGAGACTGATGCCGGAAAGTGAAATGGAACTCTCAGAAGAAAGGGTGGCATTCACACAAAGCATACACAGTTCAGTATTACAGGTCTCTGCCCTTGAAGAAGATCCCAGCTGCTGGAGTTCTGCCTATGCAATGTTTCATATTTAGCTTCCCCTCCTCTTTGATCAGGCTCCTCTGTCTTTCTAAAGCTCATACTATACATATAATTTCCATTCAAATTCAAAATCTTTCCGATTATTATAGTGAATGCAATGTTATTCAAGGATTTTTTTTCTAAAAGAGCACCTATCTGACATGCATTTTTAATTTTATGTGCAATATGCAAATGTCATCACTGTAGTTGTTAACCGCAGTGCAGGATTGCAATTAACTATGGAGCTGTGCATTTTAGTTATATGCTAATGCTAATGAGATTTTCATAAAGCAAGTCCAATTACCAGCCCTATTTTTTAGCTGCAAGAGCTAGTGCAAAGCAAAGGTGTTGACTTCCTCTGGAATAAATTACCCTTTGTCCTTGGCTCCTTCATCATATTCAATCATCCTAAAAAGTAACTCCTGCTACTTTGAATATTTTATCCTGCCTTGCTCTACAGTGCCGTATTAGTGGAGACTGTGGGCAAGATTGTTCAGAAACCAATTTACACTGCACAGGCAGTAGGAAAACTTCCTCCCAATGTAAACTATACTAGCAGAGGAGCAGAGCTCTGAATAAAGTAAACAGGACCTGAAGGAGACTGAAGACTCAGACAGTGAGTTAGCAAAAATAAACCACAAGAGAGCACATACATGATGTTATCGTGGAGTGAAGAAGCTGCACACTCTGAATGGGTGTTTAAACTCAGGTGTATGATCAGATGCGTTACTGGTTGATAACAACCTTAAAAGGACGGATAGTCTTTCTTTCATCCACTCACTCTATTCATTCAAAACACAACTGTTGGGTTTCTGTGTGCCAGACCCTGAACTAGGCACTGAGGGTTCAAATATGAATAAGACGGTGGTCGGGAGACTGAGGGAGTGAGAAGTGAAAGGAAACGTTCATGTTCTGTATTGGTTGATTCTTTTACAAAAAGAAAATGTTTATGAATTACTTGGGCAATGAAAGAATGATTAAGCCTTTGGTGAGCTTATAGTCAAATAG